CTTAGGAAGTATGAAGTTTTGTCATTTACCCCCAACTTGTCTTGCAACAGTATGTTGAGATGCGTCTGTCAGATTTAAAGAGAACAAAATCTAAACACATTTTTAGCCAGGCACTGTGGCTCACGCCTGTAATCCTTGCACTTTGGGAGGCTGAAGCAAGAGGATCCCTTTAGCCCAAGAGTTTGAGGTTGCTGTGAGCTATGACTCCGTGGCACCCTGCCCAAGATGACACAGCGAAACTCTGTCTCAAACAAAAATAAATAAATAAAGTTTTTACAATGAAGAATCTCAAGCTCTTAATCTTATCACACACCTCAGCCTTCCCCCCTCTTCCTCTACAACACCTATGGTTGTAATTGGTTGTATTTTTAAGTCACGGCAGGCAAAACTGCATAGAGTACTTGATAATAAGAGCATGTTTTTTACTTTAACAGCCCCATTCATAGCCCTGTGTGCCATTCCTTATCTTCAAAGGCAGCAGAAAATCATAAAGAACCCTTGTGATAATTTTGTGATTGCCTTCCTGAGTAACCAATCATTAGCCCTTCTTTTACTTGGACTGATTGAATTTTTAAAATACTATATGCAGTACATACCCGCACTCAGAAAGAAAAGAAGAAGTTCCTTCACATTGTTCCTGAGACAGGATTCGCTTTCCTGGCTTTATTTGGGGCACAGAGTGCTATAGCCACCTAGAAGTTTTTCTAGTTCTTCAGAAAGATTTTTGAGAATTATGACTGATCTTACACAAAACCCAGAACATGTGTGGGCTGACTGGGCTTTTCTGAGACTATATTAGACCACCTAATGCGTTTGCTTTTAAAGCACATATAGAAAGTAATAATAATAGAGATTCAAAATACCAAAAACGCACCATGCTTGTGTTTTAGGAATAAACATTGGTATTGAATCAGTATTTTTACTTTTTACTCAACATTTCAGGTATTTTGTAAAAATGACATTTTTAGTTTCTCCTTAATTTTACATACTTAAAAATGTAATGATTTGTTTTGGGGAGTGTAATGTCTATTTTTAGCATTTCTATTTTGCATTTATCTATTATTACCTGGAAAATATAACTATAAACAAAAAATAAGCATAGCTTTACTGTCTTATCTTTGTCATATATTAATATTTATAGGAGAAAAGTCTGATTGTTTTTACTTTTCAACTTCTTACGGAAGCTCTACATGGAGAATATGAAACCATCCAGGAATGCATTTTGGGACGCTATTATCAAAGACACAGGAATTTAATATCTTATTAAAACTGTTACCGTCTGAACATTCTGGGTGGCAAGGCCAATTGACGACTTAGAGTCTAGATTAATAAATGGCAAATTGATGCTCGACTAAAATTTTTATGTTCATTCTTTAAAAAATTAAAGTGAGTGCTAAAGTCCAACGAAAGACAGAAATTACAGCTTTTCTCCTTCAGCTTCATTTTAATTGCTTTAATGAGAATTTTTGCCAATAACATCTAATTATTTTGACATTTATGCTTTGTGAAATGGCATAAATGCACAGGATAAAATAAAAGGCAGAGCTTGCTAGAATCAAGCAAATGGTATTGTTAATAAGATATTCAATTTTAACTTTTACAATTCGAAATGCCTTTTCATGCATAGTCTCAATTTTTAAGTCTCACTTTTTTTTTTTTTTTTGTCAGATGGGTTTAAGTGTCCACTAATTTACAAAGTCACATTGGTGAGCATTGTTTGAAGAAGTCCCCGTGTGAGTGGGGACTTCTCAAAATACACATTTGATAATATGTCCTTGGAGTTTATCTTCTTGGGTTTTCAATTGGATTACTACTCAGTTGTGTCTCCTCCAGCCGTTCATTTCTTGCCATCATTTCCAGTCAGTGCACCACACCCTCTGTGCCATATAATCTAAAACTTGACTCCGTTATGATGATACTTAGAGTTAAGGACAAAAATGAGCTCCTAATGCAGGCTCATGTGGCATGGAGAAAAATGTCAAAGCATCTTAAGTGGAATTATTGCTCACATTCAGCTCACTGTCTCCTGAAATCCATGGACAGCACATTGTCTCTGAAAAATGTATTTTTTCTTCTCTGCAAAATGAATGCAAGTTTTTAAAAAGGGTATTTGCAAATTGATTAATATCAAATTCATCAAGCTGTTTAACCACAGGAGACCTTGTCAATAGAAAAAACTAAAGCGCATGGAAGTTAGGATATAGAAAAGTGGAAAAATCACTGCCTAGTTTATGCAAGAAAGTGCACATGTGAAGTCTACTGGCCAGGGGGTCAGCTTTTTCTAATCACCAAAGTGATTCGAGGGGCCCGTTGCACACTAACCATGTCGTACAACCTGGAAAACAGCTCTCAAATGCCAACAAAGCTGCCTCTGACATTTGCTAAGAGACAAGGTGTTGGTGCTGATAGATAAAATAAGGTCCACAGCTTGATGCCTTGGTTTTATGAGTTGCACCTGAGCAGAGCAGCAGTTTTAGGAACTAATAGAAGTTGATTTCTTTTTCATTCCCCTGATTTATGTGTGTGTGTTAAAGCTGCAGAGCTAGGCCAGAAAAGTCCAACTAACAGAACAGTTATTAATTATATCCGTGTTGCCATTTTATGTAAAATAATACTTTTTATGTAGAAGAGTTACAATCACTATACTAAAAGATTCTTCAAAATACATGTGAGTGAAATATACTGTGTATTTCTTAGCAAGCATTCATCTGCACATTCTGAATATTCACATGGTTATGTCTTATTGAACCACTGATGATTAATGTTTTTAATGAAGTGTTAAGTGAGCTTCATTGTGAGTTTACCATCAGTTCTTATTTATGCTGAACTCTTACGTCCAGTGTTTAAATATCAGCCTTGTATTATAGTTGCATATGTTTCCAACGTTGAAAAGGTACTTGAAACTGATTTATGGCTCGGCACCTGTGGCTCAAGCAGCTAAGGTGCCAGCCACATACACCTAAGGTGGCGGGTTCGAATCCAGCCCGGGCCCAAACAATGACGGCTGCAACCAAAAAATAGCTGGGCGTTGTGGCTGGTGCCTGTGATCCCAGCTACTTGGGAGGCAGAGGCAGGAGACTCGCTTGAGCCCAGGA